GAGTTTCCGATATTACATATGATAACGCTATTAGTTTCTGTGTCCAGAATTACGTCCAATGCAGCACCTAAAGGGTTGAACTCATTTTCGCCAAGAACACCAACGATAGTGCCTTCTGATGCGTTCGATCTCCATTCCATAACACGATTATTCCCGACGTCGACGACAAAAACTGTCTGGTTGTCATCCACATACAAACCCGTCGCGCCATTCAGCTGCTTCAAAGTGTTACCAGCACCGTTACCTCCGGCAACAGTGATACCATGCTGTTCCCAAGCACTGTTGTCCGGAAGGTGAATCAAGTTCGCACGCAGCGGTATCCATTTGAAATCAAATCGTTGAACCCGGCCACTCCCATATTCGGCGACAAAGAGATTACCAAAAGCATCGAAGAACAATCCTGTGGGTGTACTCAGACCTACTTCGTTACCTCCAATGATAATGCTGCCCTCTTTAGAACCTTTATCCCAACGCATAATTCGGTTGTTCCCCGAATCACATACATACACTGTGCCTTTTTGATCGACAACGATTCCATGGGGTCCCGACAACTGATGAAGGCCATTTCCTTTTCCTTGACCACCAGCCACCACAATTCCTTCACATGCACCTTCCAACCATTTCGTTACACGATGATTTGATTCTTCAGAAACGTAAAGTGTGTGATCTTGGTCGACGAAGATGTATCTGGGGTTACTAAGTTGATTGAGACGATCTCCCTGTCCATTACCACCTGCAACAATTGTTCCTATAGAGTCACCTCTTCCATATCTTCTAACTGCATACCACCACCGATCTACGACATACAAAGATCCAGCTTTGTCCATAGTCACACCAAAACAATCAATCCCAAAGAGGATCGTTCTTCCTTTTGCCTCATGTCGGAGTGAAACCCGAATGACTTCATTATTCCGGGTATCGCATACAATGAGACTATCAGATTCCCTGTCAAGAATCAAATCCAATGGACTACCCAAAGAATTGGATATATTTCCATTTTCAGCGGCCACGATTCTTCCTTCGTGTTCGTTCGATTTCCATTCCATAATACGATTATTCCCAAAATCAGCGACATAGATATTTTGTTTGTCATCAACAAATAAACAGCATGGGCGATCCAATTGGTTTATACCGTTACCAATGCTGTTTCCTCCGGCAACAACGATACCCCGTTGTTCCCAAGCAGCGTTATTTCCAATGTAAATCCCGCTCGCCCGTAGAGGTCTCCATATCAGATCAAATCGTTGAACGCGATTACTACCATATTCAGCGGCGAAAAGATTCCCGAAAAGATCGAAGGATAGGCCAACTGGCTCGTTCAGTCCTGCTTCTTCACCCCCAATAATTATACTGCCTTCTTTAGCTCCTTCAAACCAACGTATAATTCGATTATTGTTCGAATCACATACATAGACAGTACCCCATTCATCGACAACGAGCCCATTGGGATTGGACAATTGATGAAGACCATTTCCTTTTCCTTGACCACCGGCAACTATAATACCTTCTCGTGCACCTTCTAACCATTTCATCACACGATGGTTTGAGTTGTCAGAAACGTATACTGTATGATGTCGATCGACAAAGATGTATCGAGGGTCGCTCAGTTGATTGAGGCGGTCTCCTTGTCCATTGCCACCTGCAACGACTGTTCCTGTTGAATCACCACTTCTATATCTTCTTACGGTGTGCCAATAAATGTCAACGACATACAAAGATCCCACTTCGTCCATAGTCAGACCGAAACATGCAATCTTCGACAAGATGATTGTTCCTGTAGCGTCTTGTCGTAGAGGAAATTGAACGATCTTTCTATTCGCATTATCACATACGACGAGACTATCAGTCTCTGGGGAAAGTATAGCATCCATAGGAGCCACCAAGGGATTGGATTCACTTTCATTTTCAGTGATGACAGTTCTTCCTTCCTGTGCGTTCGATTTCCATTCCATAACACGACGGTTCCAACTGTCAGTAACATACACATTTTGTTCACTGTCCACAAATAAGCCGTATGGTTGATTCAGCTGGTTCACCGCGTTACCAATGCCATTTCCACCAGCAACAATGACGCCATGTTGCTTCCAAACAGCACTCTTTTGAATATGAATGGCACTCGCACGTAATGGTCTCCATATGAAATCAAATCTTTGAACCTTACCACTCCCATATTCGGAGACAAAAAGGTTGCCAAAAGGATCGAATGACAAGCCAATAGGTCGATCCAGTGCTGCTTCGTCACCCCCAATAACTATACTCCCCTTGCTAGCACCTTTGGCCCAAGCCATAACTCGATTGTTTTCGGAGTCACTTATATAGACTGTACCTATTTGATCGACAACTATTCCATTAGGATTCGATAACTGTTGAAGACCATTTCCTTTTCCTTGACCACCGGCAACTATAATACCTTCTCGTGCACCTTCTAACCATTTCATCACACGATGGTTTGAGTTGTCGGAAACGTATACTGTATGATGTCGATCGACAAAGATGTATCGAGGATCACTAAGTTGATTGAGGCGGTCTCCTTGTCCATTGCCACCTGCAACAATTGTTCGTGTTGAATCACCACTTCCATATTTTCTTACAGCGTGCCCCTCAATATCAACTACGTACAAAGATCCCGCTTCGTCTATACTCAGACCAAAACAAGGAATCCTCGATAAGATCGTTGTTCCCGATGTTTCCTTTCGATGATGCCATCGAACGACTTTTCTATTCACAGCATCACATATGATAAGACTATCAGTCATTTGATGAAGAATCATATCTGTAGGACTGGCTATAGAGTTGGATTTGTTTTGATTTCCAGTAGGGACGATTTGGCCTTCCTGTGCGTTCGATTTCCACTCCATAACACGACGATTACCGTTATCAGCTACATAGACAGTTTGTTCGTGATCGACGAATAAACCGTATGGTTGATTTAGCTGGTTGACTGCGTTACCAATGCCGTTTCCACCGGCAACAATGAGACCATGTTGCTTCCAAAGAGAATTTTTTGGAATGAAAATCGCACTTGCACGTGGTGGGCTCCATAGAAAATCAAATCTTTGAACCCAATGACTTCCATATTCGACGACAAAGAGATTGCCAAAAGGATCAAATGACAAGCCAATAGGTCGATCCAGTGCTGCCGCGTCACCCCCAATAATTATGCTACCCTGGCTAGCTCCTTTTACCCAAGCCATAACTCGATTGTTCCCCGAGTCACATATGTAGACTGTACCTATTTGATCGACAACGATTCCATTAGGATTCGATAACTGTTGAAGACCATTTCCTTTTCCTTGACCACCGGCAACTATAATACCTTCTCGTGCACCTTCTAACCATTTCATCACACGATGATTTGAGTTGTCGGAAACGTACACTGTATGGTCTCGATCAAGGAAGATGCTTTGAGGGTCACTGAGCTGATTGAGACGGTCTCCTCGTCCATTTCCACCTGCAACAATAGTTGATACAGGGAGTCCTCTTTGATATCGCCTCGCCGCATGTTTTTCAGAGTCCACTGTATAGAGGAATCCATTTTCATCCATCGTTAAAGCGGAACAAGCGATATCCGATATAACCGTATCTCCAGATGTTCCGTTTTCTAGTGGCCATCGAACCACTCTCCGGTTCGCCAAATCAGCGATGATTAGAGTATGTGTTCGTGTATCAAGAATTACATCCGATGGTGCATACAACTGGTTAGCTTCATATCCGTTTCCATTTCCACCAGCAACGATTTTAGTCACGTTTGCACGTGACTTCGATTGCATAATGCGACCATTCCAGGTATCTGCAACATATACGGTTTGTTCATTATCCACGAATAAACCGGTTGGGTGATGGAACTGATTGATTTTGCTACCGATGCCATGTCCTCCGGCCACAATGATGCCGATTTGTTTCCAAGCAGTATTCTTTGGAATATCGATTGCACTGTCGCGCAGTGGTGTGTAGATATAAGAGAAGCGTCGAACACAGTGATTTCCATACTCCGTGACATAGAGATTTCCATGACGGTCGAATGACAATCCATGCGGTACATGTAGCCCTGCCTGTTCACCACCAATGATAGTATTGCCCTCTTTAGCTCCTTTAACCCAAACCATAATTCGATTATTGCCCTCATCACACACATAAATAGTACCTATTTGATCGACAACGATTCCATTCGGATTTGACAATTGATGAAGACTATTTCCTTTTCCTTGTCCACCAGCAACTATAATGCCTTCTCGTGCACCTTCTAACCATTTCACAACACGATGATTCGAGTTGTCAGAAACATATACGCTATGATCTCGGTCGACGAAGATGTATCGAGGCTTATTGAGTTGATTGAGATGGTCGCCCTGTCCATTTCCACCTGCAACTATTGTTCCTTCATAGTCTTCTCTTCGATAGCGTGTTACTGAGTGTTTTTCATTGTTAACTACGTAGAGAGATCCGACTTCGTCCATAGTCAAACCATAACAATGTATATTTGATAAAATGGTTGTTCTAGATGTTGCATTTTGACTGGACCATCGAACGACTTTTCTATTCACATAATCGCATGTGATGAGACTATCAGCTTCTTTGTGTAAAATCACATCACTTGGGCCACCTAATGGATTCGACTCATTTTCATTTAGGGTGGTGACCATTTTACCTTCCTGCGCATTCGACTTCCATTCCATAATACGATGATTCCAGTTATCTGCAACAAAAATAGTTCGTTCGCCATCCACAAATAAGCCCAATGGACGATTGAGTTGGTTCATTGCTCTACCACTTATATATTCTCCAGCAACAATGGTACCATGTTGTTCCCAAAGAGCATTCTCTGGAATGTCAGTCGCAGTAGCACGGAAAGGGGTCCATGCTAATAAATAAAGAGAGGGATAGAACAGAGAAAATAGTGGGTAGTAATGTTTTTTTATCCTAGCGATATCGAGAAGACTGCTAAAGAATGAGAAAGAGTTTTAGATAGAAGTTTTTGCAGACTTAAGGAAAAAGATGAAATTCGCTCGAGATTTTTTTTGTTAACTGCAGTAACTTCTGTCTTTGGGTGTCGGTATGAATCTTGATCAATGCCTAAACACCCCGCAAGCTCACACCTACACGTGCTAATGAGTTTAGCAAAATCAAAAAAGCGACTTATACATAAACAGTTGGATGAAGAGTTACAACAATCGTTTTCTTCTTTTAATACTACAGCAATTAATTTATACTATAAACGAGCGTGTGTGTCAATTTTAGTAACTTTTGAGTAATTCATATGGATACTTATAGTATTTCTGTGCAAATCTGGAAAGCTGATAACCGCAGAAGTTCACGAGAATTGGTATCGAATTAAATTTCAATACTATTAAGAATAAAGTCGATGATCATATATGGATTCACATGGTTTTCACCTGGATAACATTTTAGTAAGTGTTAAGTAATACATGTGCTCTCAATCTAAGTAAATGTAGGATTTGAAATCCCTGTGATCCATTTTCTTGATCATGAAGCATTCATATATTCACAATTCAGGAAGATCACTCAAGCAGTATTAAGATAATATTGCACTTCTCTTTCAATGGGTGTCTTATTATGTACCAAGACTTTACTGACAACATTATTGAAGTTAACTTTCACACCATGGTAAAGCAAAATCAGATACCTAGTCAAAGCAATTTCATTTCTTTGAGAAACTTATTAGAAGTTGGGTTTTGAGTTTCTATCTTTTTGTTAGTTCCTAATACTCTAGATATTTTAAAAAAAATATTGCGATCATTTCATGGCGACTGATATAACATTACGGTGCTACCTGCATCTCAACCTACATGGTCGTCACCTATCAGATCATGACTCATAAAAGAAGTAAATAAATTTGCAATACTCTTAATAGGAATCCAACCAGAGAAAGAAGACATTGACGTTTCTCCTGCCGACTGATGGTAATCTAATGCCTTTCAAAGAATCTCTCCACGATATACGTTATGTATTTACAGAAAATCTAATGTCCATTTCAAAAAAAAGGCGGGTGGGTATTTTTTGAGTAACTTCTGATAGGAACATGGAAGAGAGCTGCGTTTTTCACCGTTGGAAAGAGCAGATGAAAGTGCATCAAACAATATAAGACAATAACTTTTAACTTGGACTTTTGAACCCTTTTGAAATAGTTGAACAAAGAAATGTCTTAAAAACAAGTCTGATTTTTCTAGGAAAAAACGAAAAAAAAGCCAAAAGCTGAGTACTTTTTACGGAAATTGCTTGTAAAGTGGAGTAGAATTGTCGGATATAATACCGAGAACTCCAAAACAGTAAAGATTTGGATCAAGCCATATATATAGTTTTGTAGCTCGTCAGCTGGCGAATCTAATCCACTCATCAAAGTTTAAGATTTGGTCTATCTTGATAGAGCAACGATCTACCCTTCCAAGATGAGCATATTTCACTACTTATTTTCTGAAACAAATCTCAACAATTTCATATGAATCGATGTGCTGGATCAGCCTCTTTCCAACAGCGCAAACTGCAGCTCTGTATCCTGTTCCTATCGAAAGTTATTCAAAAAATAGTCACCCGCCTTTTTTTTTGAAATGGGCAGTAGTACTCATTAGAGTATTCTAATGATCATCTCTTTCATGAAAAATCTAATCTTCCTTTCCAACAGACTTGAATATTTACACATCAGTTGTGTCTGAAAACATAACCCCCATTACACGTACCGTACAAATATTCGAAATCTGTACCATAACTAATGAAAACTTTGATATCATCGCACCAGGTAATCATCTTATTGTTGTTATTTTCCAGTTTCTGGAACTTAACTAGCACTTCCAATTCTTTGGCATCGTGGTTCAAATCCATAACTAAAAGACTCTCATTGAGATCTAAAATCAGGAAATGTACAGCAATGCATACTTTAATTTTGGAACTTACTGAGTTTTTGTTCAAGTAGAACTTGTCCCATACTATTGATTTGTTTCCATGCAATAAACACATTATCATTTACCTTTATTCGTAGTACCACTTGAGACCGTGGCCATAAATGTGAATTCCAATAGGCTGCGAGACTGATTCGTTGTACCATTGAAGCATCACTAGTAAGTGTTTGTAAGGTGAATTGACACGCATGACTACTCTTGTTGCATAGGGATCTAGTGACATTCCCAGTTTGTAATATCCAGGTGCTCGATCCGGTTAGATTGCATTCAACTTGGCCATTATTTATTACATTCAAGTCATCTCCCAATGTTCCATTTGGCAGTGTCACATCCTGTATAGTGAGAGCGGTTTGAAACTGCGATTGGACCAGATTTGCATCACTGAGATCGGCTTTGTATAAATTAGCATAAAATAAGCTAATGTTGATCAGTTGTGCACGCTGGAATACAGCATACTTCAAATTAGTATACGAAAAGCTGGAAGAGCATATTTTAGCTCCAAAAAAATGACTTTTCATGAAAGTTGCATTATGGAACTCTACATCTGTTATTTGGGCTTCGTAAAAGCTAACTGAAACTAAACAAAAGTAAAAAATTAGATTAAAAGCTAGTACAATCAAATCGAAAGTTAATACTTGAAAGGGCCAAAGAAAAAGTTGTATCATGAAGTTCAGCATGCATAAAATCAATTCTGTAGAGCTTTGTAGAAGTGAAGTCGACATTGTTAAGAGTAGTATAGCGGAATTCGGCGTCGAAAAGATTAGAAAAGGAAAAGTTTACATGGTTGATTTTTGCATCCGTGAATGTTATTGTGTTTAATCGAGTTAATGATAAATCAATATTTTGGAGCGAACCTTTAGCGTAGTTTGTATTATAAAGAAGAGAAGAGAAAAATGTAACGTTATTAAGATCAGCCAATGAAAAGTCAGTATGAAATATTTCAGAGGATGAAAAGTTACAGTTGATAAGCGAAGAACTATAAAATATAACATTAGTAAGCATTGTTGATGAGAAATCAACGTTTTCCAGTGTTGCAAACGAAAAGTCAGTATTTTGGATTCTATTCCGTGAAAAGCTGGTATTTTTGATTATAGCGTAGGAGAAATCAAGAGAGAAGATTTGTCCTTTATCAAAAGTTACATTGTAGAAATAACTCTTTGAGAAGTTGTTATGTTCCATTTGCATATCTTCAAATGTTGCATTTGATAAAAAGAGACCACTCAATGATATTTTGTTTAATATCTCCTTATTGATCGCCGATAGACGAAAGTCCATATCATAAAGTTCTGCTGTTGACAGATCCAGTGCTCGTTGCTCATCTGTTTTAGTCAATTGTTCCGCTTCATAAAGGAATCGAATGATTCGAACATTACGCTGCCCATCGAGTTGACGAAAAGCATTTAGTGTCTTTACTCGAGCTATGGTAGCTGGAACACTATCGGACGTCAATGACCCATTATTCTCTTCCAGTAATATAGCCATATCTTTGATGTAGTTGTCGAAGAGTTCATTTTTATACTTTTCTTCAGTCAGGTTTTTCTCTTGATAGCGTAGTAACACAGAAGCATTTCGATCTTCAAGGCGCTGCTGCCTGGCTGCTTCTCGGTCTTCATCACGCTGTTGTTTAGCAGTACTCTGCTGCTGAAAAGTGATAACAACGGTGAAAATCCCTAAGGCGAGCGGAAGCAATAACGAGGATGCAAACTTAAGAATTTCATGAAGTTCGAGACCAAAGAATTTTCGATCTTTAATAAGAGGTCTTTTTCGTCGTTTTACATTAATTTTGATAGAAGATTTTCTTTTATTTGTTTGATACATTGGCATACAAGAATAAACGAGTCCAATGAATTCGGCTGAAACTTGCTATTGTCCGCAACAGACTTTTGAACACAATCAACCGACGTTTTTGGCAAAGAAAAAAGAGAAATTTAAAAACAAAATCAAGCTTAAATAGTGCTTGATACATTTGTGAGGTGATAAACCTGTTTTTTTAAGGAACATGGGCAAACATATCTATTACACTACAAGCACTTGTCGGATTGATTTTGCAGTTTAGACACGCATTCTTCACTCTGATATCATGCCATGAGGATGACACACGTAATAATGAACATTGGGTTTTTTTCTTTTAACTAAAACTATCTCATCAGTTACATCCAATTCAGTTTTGGACGAACATCAATACATTCTTTTTTTTTCTTATTTCTAATACAGTGAGTGAGACATATGAGGTAATTACAGAATTTCAAAGAGTTAATGTATCTCTCAGGTCGTCATTAAATGGCTTACTCGAAGTCCCTCTATCATGACAATGACGACGATATATGTATATATAGCCGTTGGTTGTATAGAATAGTTACTTGAACAGAACATCTATTTGGATATGAAAAGTTGATTTCATGTATATTCATATGAATCGAATTCCAGCGTAAAATCTTTATTATAATATTAACTATCGTTTGTCATTGTTTTTTTCCCCGCCTAAAAGCATCCATTACTGTCATAGATGAAATCGGATCATGTTAATAATTATATTCATGACAATAATGTTTGCAATCAAAATTTATTAAAAAGAATAAATTCTATAACAGGTTTCTTGTGCAGATACCTGTTAGACGTGACGATTGCATTATCCTTCAAAAATCCAGCAGCTACAGGGATTTTTTTTTTAAGATCTACTGGAACTTTTTTTTATAAGTCCGTAAGCAGTTTGGGATAGATCCCTGATAGTTCTTCAATACATACAACCTACAGGTGTGGGTGTTGGTGTACTAAAATGTGATTATAATCAATTAATCCCGGAAAAAAATAAGTCTGGTATAAAAATAAATCCCAAAAAGATAAGTCCCAGTAAGCGCTCAAATTACCCACCCTGATCGACTCAAGAAAAGAATATCCTGTTAGGCTCTCGATTGCAAATCTAAAAGAATCAGGCTTTGAATTTTCATTTATTTTCTAAATGCATCTATTTCCAGCTTGTTTATTTGCCATAATCCGTTAGTTCAGAATAAATTAACATATCTTAACAACACGCTTTCAGTGGTGAAGTCTCTGCTCCTGCAGTAAACGAATAACTCGTGGATGACCTCCTTCTAACAAGAAGTCTAAACTAACATCACTAAAAACTGCCCTTAATTTTGACAATGAAAAGCATTTGCCTGTGAAAACAACAAGAATATGTGTTTATTGTAGCAGTAAGGAAGCAGACGCTCGATCCAACATCGAGTGCTTCACTTGTAAGTTGATATTTTGTTTAAAAGATGAAAACAATTGGTTTTCGATTATCATAAGATTTTTGTGTAGCCATTTTGAGTTCTGATGAAATGAAAAGGTTGAAAACTGTTTTTCAATCAAACAAAAAAATTGGTCCTCAAGGAGTTAACAGCATACAAGCTTGAAAAAGAATAACATTAGTTTTCTCTTTCACAAAATAAACGAGAAAATAACTTAAAGAATTGTCCTTGTTTCCGAAAATAACACGTGAAATATATGGGTCTGTATCCTTTACATGCATTTGTCAATAATTTAAACGTTACCTGCAATTTAATGGATAGGGATGCACCAGTCCCAGTTCTGACTGGTGAACTGGGTCCCAGTCGGACTGGGACCCAGTCATTAACTGGGACCCAGTCGCGACTGGGTACTGAGTCCTTTGATATTTAGTCCGTTAGTCAAGTAGTACTTTCTTTTCGAGTATATTGCCATAGAGTGATTTTTAGCCTGTTGAAGTAGTGAAATAAGTTATGATACTAAATCCATTGGCTAATCATATATTTCTATATATCGATCGTTATAATTTAGAATACTGTAAATAAATTTCATGTTTTCAGGGTGTGGGCATGGCTAGGGTGTAGATGTGCGTGGGTGGATTGTGGATGTGAGTGTTGTTTGGATGGATATGGGTGTGGATGTTGTTTGGATGCGGGAATAGTTAGAATGGCAATAACAACACCCATACCAACGTCAAAGCAACCTCCAGACCCACACCCTTAGAAAAGAGGGAAGTACCGATAGATTAGCGAAATAAACGTCAAATGACTAAGTACCCAGTCGGACTGAGTGTCCAGTCGGACTGGGTGCCCAGTTACTGGCACTGGTGCACACCTATTAATGAATATCGCAAATTAATTGCCTTTTTATGCAAATTGATACATTAAAAGTGAAAGTTACAATATCTCTCTTTAAATTACAGGGTGGGTATGAGTGTGAGTATTCTGTCAGTCTTCACCCAAACTCGCACCTACATCCCCATACCCACCCACACCCACACTCCAATTGAGTAAGACTATGAGAGGTATAAACTATAAGAGCATAATAGGCTACAGATATTTATGGGATTAACACATAAATGAGTAAGAAAAGCTTATCAGCACAGCTCTAAAGGAGCTGAAATGTGGAACTCACGTATATCTTTGAAATTTATTATCCTCACGCCTTATTGTTAAACTGAAAAGCAGCTTTTTTGAATATTTATGAAATTCGAGATGTATTATATAGAATATAAAGTTTTCTGTGTAGATGCGGAGGTCTGTAACGGTGGCCTGTCTTTAATGAGGTCTATGTCTGTAATGGAGGGACGGGGAAGGTATCTCTGTAATGTTCTCTTTCTCCGTTGCTATGTGTCTGTAATGGGGGGGGGGAGGAGGGGAACCACGAAACCTCGAAATGAAAATTTACACCCACTATTTTCTTCGAAAGAAAACGTCAGTTCCACAAAATACGCTTAAAATGAGGTAATACTACAAGAGTATAAGACTATAAAGAATAAGACTACAATCTATCTCTATATATATAATGTTTAGCGTGTGTCTGTGTGTTTCTGTGTTGGATCAAAGATTAAAGGTTAATGTTCATATAAGGCTATAGGGGGAAGGCGACAAGGGCTATTATATGCAGGTACCTATAGATTCTCAGCGGCTATTGTACAGAGGGACCGGTTGGCAGTAGAAATGTCGAAAAAGTGAAGGGTAAAAATGTCGAAAGGAAAAATATCGAAAGGGAAAAATGTCGAAAAGAATATACATTAAGAAAATGACTCATTAGTCTTGTTAGAAAATCTTGAAGTAGAAGAAACGTTTTGTATTTGTTATGCTAACACTAACATATGTTAACAGAAAAAAATATATGGATGAAGAATTTAAAAAGTCATCTTGTTTTTCAAGAAGACATTCATGAACTTGAATATCTTCTTTTTCTGAAGGATGACTATCATCATCAATTGTTTTAAGTAATTTGTCATTCAAATCTGTATGAATGTTAGAAGAGCAACCTTTATATGTATACTTTCAATATTTAGTTGTAATTGTTGTTTTGTTCAGTTTCAAAATATATTCATTTGCTAATAATAAAGTTTTTTCTTTTTGTGATTTAATAAATGATATGCTCAATTTTGGTTGAACTCCGTCATTTGAAAATACTGTATTTGTTGCCATACTAATTAGTATCTTGTTAGTTATTTATTTACTTTCTATATAGCCGTTTATATAATCTCTATCACTTATTAGTCATTATTACTACTAGTGGCAACAAATCTGGACTAGTAGAATTATTAAAAAAAAAGAAAACATGCATTGTTCGAATTTAGAGTTGTTATTTATGGGAGACATCGTTATTTCTTTCATTTTTCATTCTTACATCTTTTTGTGTTAGAATTCATTTTTCGACATTTTTCCCCTTCGATGTTTTTTCTTTCGACATTTTTCCCTTCCGATATTTTTACCCAATTTTTGTTTCTTTCGACATTTCTACTACACACCGAAAAAAACAGCGGTATCTGTTATTATTATGAACAAAATTTATTACACTCCAGCTAAACTTTTATTCAAGCTTTCATTTGTCTATTCGATAAATCGATCAATGAAGAGAATTCATAAAACTTCGGAAAGGGCCTACAATAGATGCGAAGGCATATATTTTAAGACTCCCTTCCCTTAAAAATTTATCTTGGCCCAAGAACGTTAGAATGAGCTGAATATTTGAGAATATGTTGAGGACATCAAGGGAAGTTTACGATAAAATTCTCAGCCCAAAATTATTTCATTTAAGGGAGATATTCACTAAACAAGATCGAAAAATAGCTAATTTGGCATCCCGAATTTCTTTGTAATGGTTCGTCCAATGTATTAATGTTTTTTTTTTCATTTGAAAGAGCGTGTCAAAATGCATAGCAGTACGTCGCCCTTTTTTTGAAATACCTCCCTTTTAATCGGAAAAAAGCAGTTACAACTTCAAAGACTAAAAAATTTGTCAAAAAATGGTAATCAAACTATATTACTGACTTTATACTGACTAAAGAAAAGGAGTATTTCAAAAAAAGGGCGACATACTGCCCTGCATCTTGACATGATCTTTCAAATGAAAAAAAAATATTAATACATTGGACGAACAATTATAAAGAAATTTGGGACGCGCGTACAAGAAAACGAAAAATGAGAAAAAACGAAAAAGATTTTTGGATATTTCAAAAAACCGCTGTTTTTTCAAAAACTAGTTCTCTGAAATCCTGAAACATTTCTAGAAAAAATGGGAGTTTTAGGAAAAACTTCTATCAATTTTGAAACAGCGGATGGCGGGCTTTTTTCCTATGTGTTTATCTCAATTTTCACAGTTCTCACGAAAATTGACTTTTTTTTGAGGGGATGGGGGGCCTTAAAGAAAAAAGAACTCTCATCTGTTATCAATCGATGGGAATAGTCACTTCTGACTTTGTATAAATAATGCCGATATAGGAATAACCTTCTTGACGGAAAACTCAAATTTTTAGGTAAACGGGTGCTGTAAATTCGAACCTTCATCGAAATCTCTCTCTCAATAGGTAGAGAGCTGCATTGCAGCTGATTATGGTTCATATCATGTGAACTGATTTTTCAATCTTTGAAAAGGACGAAAAAGAAATGATGTAAGCAATAAGACAAATATCGCCATGGATTCTATTATAATTCTATTTACATATTTGTTTTCTTTAATAGTTGAGACCTCTTCTATGAATTGAAAATTATCGATGCATATGTAGTTTTTAAAGACAAGCACTTGAGACTAGTGAGGGTGTGGGTGTCACACAATTAGGTCAACCACACTAACATCCACACCCACACACCCACACCCACACCCACACCCACACCCACACCCA